TCGATTGCCATGTTGAGATCCACTATCGTGGACCCCCATTTTCATTTCATGGACCCCCAAATTTTTTTTCGCTGACGTAGACCCCTTGCAGGTTGTCATAGACCCCTGGGGGTCGATATAGACCACTTTGGGAATCACTGATATAGATGTTGTAAGAACATCGTTTCCGGCTGGACACTGCGTCAAATACAAGGGTTTTGCAGTCGATCTTCTCTGACCTTTGGCTGCCTTCCAATTAGGTCACCGCCAACTTAATGACCGCTAATTTTTGTTCTTTCTTCAGACTGGCGCCCTTTTCGTACATTCCAGAGCTCCCGTTGCGCCAATATCCGGGATATCACGTGAGAGAAGGAGGTGGAATAGGCACCAACACCCGCTTCAACCCGTTCGATACTTCACGCGACGCAAATTACATTCCATGCAAATCAAACGGCCTTCGGAAAGGTCAGAGTGTAGGAAAGAAAGAATGAGAGAAAATGAGGCGAGAATTAGAGGAGACACAACCCTAGTTGTTAACGTCTTTGAGAAGGAGTGCATGAATGGAATATGATTACTTACAGTTCTCGTCATCCCTGGAAAGTGGAGGGTGACGACCTGCTCGGGCCAACTTTTCGCCACGTAGAAATGAAAGTCCCACACTCGATCGTTGATGTAAGTCTTCACGGTCTGATGGAACTGAAAACAAATAAATTTAAGTTTAATTATACTTTACAAACATTATAATCAATTAAAGAAATTAGAAAATATTCAATAGAAAACATAATAATTAAATAAAACTAAATTAAATATGAAAAAAGAAAACTTGCGTTAAACAAATTTGATTTTGTGATGGAAGTTATAATTCACGATAACTTGAATAATTCACTAGCGTAAATAGAAGGGAAGGAATGAGAAGTAGTGGAAAGTAAAAATTAGTTTTTGCTGTGCAAACACAAACATTGTTGCTGTATAAATAGTCTGAAATTTGAATGAAGCAAGTCGAAAGTATAGTTTTGAAATGTGCACAAACGTTCGTTTGGTGAATTTGAGGTGCGTGCAGATCGAACCCTAATTATAATTTATACGGGGCGCACGCACAAAGATTGTTTCGTGCAGATTGCACAACTCTTAAAAGTCGTAAATCACCTCAAAGGACACGACGACGACGACGACTATGAAATTGATTTTCGACTGTACCGCAAACAAATAGGAACAGCACGTTTCTACACGTCCATTGAAACTCAACAGTTTACTTAATAATTGAATTTAATCCGCTCGAATCGTTAATCAAATAAAAACTAATCGACGTTTAATTTACTTCCGAGCCGAACGAGCGATGACCGATGATATCGTTTCAAAAATTCATTCGATCGGTCAATCAACAGGTGCGAACGAACGAGCTTGCGTACGTCTCGCGTATTCGACGTTTCTTCCGTCGTCCAAAAGAAAATCTTACAATTTTCATTTCTAAATCTAGTTTACTGAAATAAACAAAAGTTTTACTCACTTTTATCGAATCGGGCAGGTAATTGCCGAGCAGCTCCAAAATTTCCGGCAGTTCCTCTTCTTGTACCAATCTGAAATTCTTCCCCTCGGCCAATACTTCTTCCATTGCTGCAAATAAAATTAAAATTATGAGTGTAGAAATCATCAAAACCATACATGAACCTATTAAACAAGCAAAAAAAACTACAACAAAAGTGCTTTGGTAAGAAAAACATTTTGACAAAGTCAAACAATAGTAATAAATTAGTTTGACAGTTGTTTGACGTTATTAACAGAAAAAACGTCAGTAATTTCCGGCAGTTCCTCTTCTTGTACCAATCTGAAATTCTTCACCTCGGCCAATAATTCTTCCATTGCTGCAAATAAAATTAAAATTATGAGTGTAGAAATCATCAAAACCATACATGAACCTATTAAACAAGTAAAAGAACTACAACAAAAGTGCTATGGTAACAAAAACATTTTGACAAAGTCAAACAATAGTAATAA